TCTTTAAAGAATTTGGCCTTGGGAAAAAATGAATTAATTCCACATTAAGTGAGAATCCTGCCGTGTGCATGTGGTGAATATCTTCATAAAAGTCTTAAAATGATACGATGTGGTGACATGGTTTCTAATAGGATGGTGGCTGTGGAGTGGACCAGTGTCACTGTGCTGTAATTAGACTGCTGTTTGGGTTTCATGATGATTTGTTCTGTGGCAAACGTGGTCAAGATCATTGGTTACAGCCTCACTGTAGACACAGAAAGGGAAAATAAAATACTCATATGTTAAGATTGTCCCAGTAAGGATCCTGTATATTTACATTTTAGGAACACATGCCTCTCTCTTCTTCTACTTCTTTGCAACATAACACTTTTTTACATTTAAAACAATTGGTCTACATATAGTAGTAAAGCCAAATTTCATTGGTCAACATTACAGGACTAAGTGGTCGGACTCTGATCGGATGAGAAGTCAACGCTTTAATCTCCTAAAAGTACAGCCTGTCACCAACACTGATGCTTTGAATTTTAACATCATTATCAACCAGTCGAGTTCCTTACTTTTCTTAAAAGGAATTGTACCAAATCAAATATTAGCGAGAGTGAAAACCTCTCAACTGGAAGAAGCTGTCCTCACTGTATCCTAGAAAGAAAAAAGAAAGTGTGTTTGTGTGTCTGCTGCGATGGAGCCTGTGGTGGTGATGATGTCAGAACTGCTCAGTGAAGCAGCTTTTGTATAGCTGGAAGTAAAAGCCCAGGGCATATGTTGCTAAGTGGTTACATCAGGCATCTCATAAGAGAAGCCTTCCATATTCTATAGTAGCATATAATGTGAACCAGTACATTACTGCCAGTGAGGCAGGAACATCCATCCTGAAATAACTCAGGCATCAATACACAGTTTCCTTCTGGAGACGTACTGGAGGGACGATTCAAGTCTAATTCTTGTTGTGTCGATGTAGCGCTATGGTTATTGAACAAACCAATTCATTAAGAATTAAAGCGTTCCTGGTTTTGGAACAACTCCATATAAATGGATATGTGCTGTCATTCAGTAAAAAACACTAACAGTGTTGGTTATAATGCTTTTAAACCTGGAATTAGACCAGGGGTCATCAACCTTTAAGGTCTAAGGACAAACAAATTGTAGATAATGTGTCAAACTCAAGGCCCGCAGGCTGAATCTGGCCCATCATGTCATTTTAGGTGGCCATGTGTATGGTTGTCGTGACTGAATAAACTGAATGCTGAATTTAAAATTCAATGTTGTAATCCTTTTCACTGAGGTTGCAGTCCGTTCAAACTTCAAACAGTACTGGATTGTTCTAAAAATGTTGATTCTGTTTGGCCCACAACTAAGCCTGGGTTTTACATTTCTGCCTCTTGAGTGATTGAGTTAGACAACCCTAACTGTAGACTTTTCATTCATATTCTATTCTCTGAATGGAATTGTACGTTTATGACCCCAGTGCGGGGCCCTGTAGACCTTTTACGGGCTGCACACTCCCAGTTGAGGACCTCTGAAAGAGGATAAATCAGAGCAGGAAATAGAGCCTCGGGAAATTCTAGAGTAGAATTTGCATTTAACAGGCAGCAGGACTTTCCAGCAATATATGACAATTCCTAATGCAAAAATCAGCATCATCTGTAACATGTCAGGTCCAGTGCAGCACTTGAGAGGAAATTCTCAGTTGGAGAAAGTTTATTCATAAATGTATCCACCTAATGGATACTAGGAGCAGGCAGGAACAAAAAAAAAAAACAACCAAAAAAACACAAAAACCAACATGGCATGAAACAACACACACTGAGCAATGGACTGACCAGAACAGAGTGAGGGACACAGGTATTTATACCCAGGACACCAGGTGACACCAGTGAGACTGATGAACAGACACAGGTGTGCGTGATCTCACTGATTAACCCAGCAGACACAGGAAGGAGGGAAGGGAGAGAGAGATGGACAACGTCGTCGTGTTTTTTCATCATGTCCCATCAGATACAACATTTAACAGTGATTATTCTTTGTCTGTTTGCTGTAGAATTTGCAAAAATAATTTGCAACTAAATTACATGAAGTCTAGGCTGTCATTACAAAAACCGGATTAAAATGCTAATTTCCTGTCAATTTGTGATCTGTTAATAAAGTGTGTACTATATTTGTTCACATCACGTCTCTGGAATTTGGCAGTAGTAGCTGTAATCTACAGTCCTAAAACCTTCTTAAATACTAATATCTTGAGCTTTAGTGGCAAAAACATGGGAATAACTTTTTTTCAGCATACTAAATATTGCCACTGGAAATCTTACAGTAGACCTAAAAACTGACTATAATATACAAAAGCAAAACCAAAAAGGCAGGAAATCCGTGGATGATTACGGTCCTGGTTCTATATTCTCCCCCATTTTATTTCCTGCTGTATTTATTGCCCTGACTCAGACACAAACCTTTTGTTCCTGGGCTTGTAAACCTTTCTTTTTTTATTATACGACTTCATTTAATGTGACCAGGAGGAGGGAAAGAAGCATCACTTACATAATAATTTCAAGGACGGCGACGGTCTGCGTTTTTTTGCACAACATTTGCCTGCAGGATGAAAAAGCTCCCCAGACTTGACTTTGTCTGACAGAGCGTCCATTCACAGCAGCACGAGTCAATGACATGATGTGTGCAGCTGCCACCCGTGTGTCACTGCCAGCATCAACGTGGCCTTTGTGTCCATGTCCCCATTTGTCCAGTTGTGGAGTCAGGAAGTTGACTTATGGGTGTTTTTATTTGTTTTCACCCCATTTGTGCATTTCCTAGAAATCCTACCTTTTTCATGGAGAAATGATAACAACATACATGGAGAAATGATAACAACATACGTGTCACATGTTTACTCCACATGTGCGTATACGTGTCACATGTTTACTCCACATGTGTACACCACGCACAGAGTTCAACTCAAGACCAAATATGGTGTTTGAAAAGAGAGGATTTGAAAAGAAGTTTTTTACATTCCTAACATGTTGTAATCATCTTTTGGCTAACCTTTAGCTGTTTCTTGGCTAATCTTGAGCTACAGTATGCATTTATCTTCATGAATATTTACACATTTTTGACTCAACTTTTGTTGTTTTGTTTTTTTTTTCAAACTAAAAGGGCTCAACCTTTGGAAGAACTTCAGCCTTTTCTGGACACTCATGTTCTCTTTTCGTTACGAATCACATGCCTTACTCATTTTCTTAAAAATATTATGAGCTCTGAGGAAAACGAATGCTCATTTCCCAGGGAACAAAAAATGTCAAAAGAGACGAAGGAGGGCAGCGTTCCTTTTGTGGTGGAACCATTTGATAAACTCTTCCTCTTTTTAGTCCAAGCCTCTGCTTTCGCTTTAAAGGTTTAATTCCCAGAGGCTTTTCCTGCACCAGTAACATGTTGTTTAAATACCCACTCCACCTGTCACTGACAAAAGCTGTTTTTGCAGCGGCTTTGTTCTCTCCCAGTCACTCTCTCATGGCCCACCGTTTTGTCAATACATTCAATGGAAAATGCAAAAGCCAAACAAGGCCGAGCATATTAGTAAAACGACCACATCTTACTTCTTTTATTGTTGATGTACAGTACAGCCTGTCCCCATTTTAGCTTTTTGTGTAAAGATTTGAATTTGTTTGGTTCAGTTCTGTACAAAATGTGACCTAGTTTTATGCGCTCTTCCCGTGATGTTCATTTTCTGCCTCTGTAAACACCTTAAAGCCACAGAGACAGCTTTGTTTTCTTTCTAAATTTATAATGTAAAGAAGTAATTGATCTGTAATAATACTGTACACCTAGTAAAGTTCAAATTAATTGGTTAAACTCTGACATACTGAATGTTAAATATC